TTGTCTTTTCCTTTACTCCATCCTTTCAATGGACTTACTGCATAGACACTGTTCTCTGTGTTACTTTGAAAGTTCTCAGAGCAAATTTAAAAGCTGGTGAGATGATGGGGGGATTTCTTAGGTCTGATATATGTGGGAATTGGGAATGAAGTTGAAGCCAGAACTCCTGCCCCTGCCCTACATAGGCATGCAGACAGAAAGAGAAGCGAAGAGCATTATTACAAGTGTGTCTTTACTCCCCGGAGGTAAGTGCTATTTGCTGGTGGGCAGTTGTGTGCAGGAAGGATAGAGACTTTGGGAATATAAAAGCCCTCAAAATTTCTCCATGGAGTATACTTTTTATGCACTGCTATTTCTGTGCGTCACCCCCAAAGGATGAACTATCACCAGTTGATTTGTAGACTAGTTCCATTAGATTGGGGACAGGGGCTTTGATCTGATGTACAGGGTGGAGGGCTAGCACAAGGTGTCAACTCTGTGGAGCAAGAAGAATCAGTTTTTACACAGTGACAACCTTTGACATCTGTAGATGGATTCTCGAGGTCAAGCCAGCCAAAATCCCAGCATGGATGGAGGCAACTGATGGTTGTTGAGGGAGGGAGAATAAGTTTTCTCCAGGGTTGAGGCCCCTGAAAGTCTACCATGCTCCAGTAGATGGTCCTATATATGTGCACATATGGGTGCATAAGTGAGGACAGAGACAGAGAGATAGAGACAGAGAGAGAACATGAAGCTGGGAGGGGAAGGGAGGAGAAATAGAGAGGAATTGAAGGGGAGGGGTTAAGGAGTGGCTTTGACCAAATATATGCACACATGAAATTATCAATGAAAAAGAATTCTCAAGAACATTTCCAAAATCAATCATGATTTATTTGATTTAAAATGTTTCTCCTTATTTTTTGTGGGTGCTGGGAATCGAATCTGGGTCCTCTGAGAGGGCAGCCAGCGCTCTTTACCACTGAGCCAACTCTACAGACCCCATAGATTTGATTATTTGAAATTAGTTACAAAAATAAATTCAGGATATGGAGAAAAGGGAGAAGGATTATAAATTCAAATCAAGAAGCAAAGCGAGTGGATATTGTCATTTACATCCTCCTGGGAAGGTTTCTGTGCTGGCTGGTCTTACGTCAACTTGGCACACAAACTAAAGTTATCTGAAAGAGGGCACCTCCATTGAGAGAATGCCTCTGTAAGATCCAGCTGTGAAGCATTTTCTTAATTAGTGATTGATGGGGGAGGTTCCAGCTCATTGTGAGTGGGGCCATCCCTGGGCTGGTGGTCCTGGGATCTATAAGAAAGCAGGTTGAGTAAGCCAGTAAGCAGCACTTCTCCATGGCCCCTACACCAGCTCCTGCCTCCAGGTTTCTGTCCTGTTTGAGTTCCTGTCCTGACTTCCTTCAATGATAAACAGCAATGTGGAAGTGTAAGTCAAATAAACCCTTTCCTTCCCAACTTGCTTTTTGGTCATGGTGTTTCATCACAGCAATAGAAACCCTAACTAAGTTGCCTTTCCTAATAGCAATATCTAAATAAAGGAAAAAGAAAAATGGCCACTAATAGTCAAATCATCTGATCAAACAGATGTGGGTGATTCTATCTAGTCAGTCTCAGGAAAGTCTTTACTTGTCCAGGTTAGTTGCCTTACTTGATCATTCATTCACTCACTCTTTCAGTCATTCATATTTGCATACTTCAGCTTTAGGGGTAAATTGCCTGTTGGCTTGACACTGACAACATTATGGGTCTGCAGAGACTTAAACTGTGTGCACCTCCTCTGTTAAGTAAGAGTAAAACTTGATGCAACCAACCAGGATGGACGACTTTCCCCATGTGTTCATCCAGCTTCCAGACATCCAGTTGCAAGATGCACGCAAAACGAGAAAGTGTCACGGGTGGGCATGCATGACAGTTCCCGTGGAACTAACCTATTAGCTGACTGATTCGCTAAAGGGATCCATATGCCTCATCTCTGCCTTGAGTCTGCCCTGGAAGTTCCTAGGAAGGACAGATTGAACCTGAGACATCCTGATTCAAAGTCTTGTCTTAGAGCACCTGCAAATGCTCACCTACTACAGGTGATCATGTACCAATTCTGCACCACTAAAAGCAAATGTGTTTTTCTATTAATTACATTTCTGCAGAGCATTTCTTTCATTTTTTAAGGGAGAGAGTGTGGGAGAAAACAGAACTACAGAATTGGAAAGGTGTAACCAGTAAATGTTATCATGGTCATGATGCCTATGGCTTTTCTAGAATTCACATTCACTGATCTTCCCTAAGCATAGGTTATTCAAAGAAGACACCTCGGCCAAGGCCATATTGCTCTCTCCTTTCTTTGGATATTGTTAATTACAAGGTTGAAAAGATGCCTTCCTAGAATGGTATAGATGGCAATATTTAATCCTCTTTTCTTCTTGCTTCGGTTACTGTAAATATTCATTAATTTTTATAACTCTTCTCTCTTATTTACATATCCTGAAATTATTTTTGTAACTAATTTTTAAGAATCAAATTCTCTGGCTGGGCGGTGGTGGCGCACGCCTTTAATCCCAGCACTAGGGAGGCAGAGCCAGGTGGATCTCTGTGAGTTCGAGGCCAGCCTGGTCTCTAAAGCGAGTTCCAGGAAAGCCACAAAGCTACAAAGAGAAACCCAAAAAAAAAAAAAAAAAAAAAAAAAAAAGAATCAAATTCTCTTTCAGAAGATTCTGCAATTGAAAGTACATAGCCACATCTGTGGTGACTAAGGCGGTCCCTGCAGCATTGCCCAGCTCTCTGAGTTTACCTGGATGGTGGTTCGACTCCTATTTTGGTTTTTCAAAAGCTAGACTACTGTTTGTCCAAGAACAATTCAAGATACACAATCTCTCCCAGCCGATTTGAGGAGGTAGTAATATAAATAGAACAAGGACTTGAGGAGTAGCCAGACTATACTCCCGTCATTTTATGTGTGTGGCCACTGAAACCCACAGAAAGTGGTTTATCCAGCTGTCTAACATAACATGAACACAGGGGAGTCTGATTCTAGAGGTGTTTTTCACTCATAAACTCATTACTCAGGAAAAAATAAAGGTAATTTATTCCTAAGTAGTTGAATATTAAAGTTAAGATACACTTGAAACAAAAATATTTCCAGAGCTCAAAGAAAAGTAGAACTAAGCTATAACAAACATCATTGCATAGTTAGTATCCCCCTCTAAGTGACTCTCCCCACATACCTTTAACACATAAAGTGGGTACTTTTCATATGATGAGCCAATGTAGATTTTTTGGAGCCTGTCAGGATACCGTTCGGTTACAACGTCTATCCAGGAATAGATCTATGAGGACAGAAACTACAGGTTAGTCACAGGACAAGTTCACAGGACATTACTGATCACAGGAAGTAGTCAGCTTCCTTGCAGACAGGAGATCCCTCTCTGTTCTCGCAGATAGGAGAACTGGAGAACTGAAAACACTGGGAATGGAGTATTTCCTCCGCTGAAAAGAATCTAAGTTTTAGGGGGCAAGTGAAACGGCTCTAAGAAGCGTAGAACAAAGAGTAAATTTTTAAAACGTGGCCTTGGAAATGATTGGCTTTTATTTAATTTTATGTTGTGTCTATGGGTGCCAATGGAGGCCAGAAGAGGGCAGTGGATCCTCTGAAAGTGGAGTTACAGGCAGTTGTGAGCCGCTCTGTGGGTGCTGGGAATTGAAGCCAGGTCCCATGGAAGAGCAGCCAGTGTCTTAACTACTGAGCCAGCTCTCCAGCCCAGACATTATTGTTTATCTGTTTTCTAGATCTGATGATGGAATGCAGGGCCTTGTACGTAATAGACAAGCACTCTACCATTGAGCTAGGCCTTGGGCTCTTTGTTGTTTTGTCTTTTGAGACAGGATCTCCTATGTAACCTAGGTGTGACCAGTGTTCTCCAAAGAAGGAGAGATCAGGATGGAAGGAGACATGTGGGGATGTACAGAAAAAAGCCACATGTCCTGGATGGGCTTTTGTCAACTTGACATAAGCTAGAGTTAGCTGGGAAGATGAAGCTTAATTGAGAAATGCCTCCATCAACTTGGCTGTAAGCAAGGATGTGGGAGTGTTTTCTTGATTATGAACTGGTAGAGGAGGGTCCAGCCCACTGGGGTTAGTGCCACCCCCAGGCAGATAAGTGGTTCTGGGTGGCATAATAAAGCAGACTAAGCAAGCTATAGGGAGCAAGCCAGAAAGCAGCACTCCTCCATGGCTTCAGTTCCTGCCTCCAGGTTCCTGCCTTGTGCTCCTGCCCTGACTTCCCTGCATGACGGACTGAGACCCAGAACATGTAAACTAAATAAACCCTTTTCTCTCCAAGTTGCTTTTGGTCGTGGCATTCATCACAGCAGCAGAAAGAAAACTAGAACACCTTTTGAGGACGAGGAAACAACTGACTCCAAACCAAAGAAAGAGGCTTCAGAGGAAAACCAAAGACTGCCAAGATCTTGGGCTTCTTGCCTCCAGAAATATGAAACAGAGAAATGTCTGTATAGTCCATGTCGTTCTGCTATGGAATCCCCCACAAATGAGTGCAGTCATGGAGTATATTTGTTTGCCATTCCAAGTCGTTCGTGGGTATATGGTAAGACAACAGAACTTCCTGGAACAAAATAATTAAAAAGTGTATTTCGAAACCCTCCTGGTTAAGGCGTCCCCCTCTGCCCATTAAACTCCTGCATAGCCTCTCTGCATCAAGTCTGTCACGCGTTGCTGGCGACAGAGGTTCGAGGGGAGTGGCCTAAGTAGAAGAGATAGATGTATGCTCTAAAGAGAAATAATGTGGTCGTGTAAGCATGTAAGACCCAAGTCAATCAGCCAGGCGCACAGGCTCTGGAAGCAGACAGGGTTCTGGATTAACCAACTGGAAAGAAGCAGGTGATTTCAGAGATGAAATATAAAATTGATTCTTATTACCTGAGTCAGAGATGTGGTCCCTGCTGTCTTTTTAGGCACCCAGTCAAAGACATCTTGATTTAAAGGTTCCCACCCAGAAGGATTAAATGTATTCCTTTGTAGCATACTAAATAGAAGTGAATATATCACTTTATTTCTGTGAGGTGAATTAATAATC